ATGTTATACGAGCGATGGGCAACAGCTAATCGTTTGGGCGTATTCCTCATTAAGTCCAAAATTGCCAGAGAAATTCGTGGTCCCGTCGATGAAGTTGAGGAAATTAAGTCATTACTCAAGGCCATCGATGATCAATTTGTTGACGCGAATAAATCTTTGGCAAGTACCCTGATAATGAAGATTATCAATATGCGTCTTTCCACTGTCAAGGGAACGCGAAAACACATCATGGAACTCAGGGACATTGCGGCACAATTGAAGAAGTTGAAAATTATTCTTCCAGATGCCTTTGTGGTGCACTTTGCACTAAATACCCTATCTCAGGAATATAGCGCGTTTAAAATTGCCTATAATACACATAAGGATGAATGGTCTATCAATCAATTGATTACCATGTGTACTCAAGAGGAAACGCGACTTGTAACTGAGCTTGGGGAAAGTGCTTTTATGGCCACAACAAGGCCTAAAAGAAAATCTGGAAAGCCTAAGGGACTTACCATAGCTGCTAAGGAGAAACTAACCCCGAAAGCAGACATTAAGAAGATACAAAAGTGTTTCTTTTGCAAAAAGAAGGGACACATGAAGAAAGATTGTATCAAGTTTCAAAAATGGATGTCCCAAAAAGGTAACATTTCATCTTCTTTCGTTTGTTTCGAATCTAACATGTCAGAAGTTAATACTAATTCCTGGTGGGTTGACTCTGGTTCAACAATCCACATTGCAAACTCTTTGCAGGATATGACAAAACTGAGACAGCCAACGGGAACTGAGTGTAGCATCTTCTCTGGAAACAAGATTGCATCACCAGTCGAAGCTGTCGAAGTTTGCAATTTAGTTTTGGACAATGGTTTTGTAATGACGTTAGAAAAGACATTTTATGTTCCTAGTTTTCTAGGAACTTAATTTCAGTATCTAGACTTGTACCCTTCGGTTATTCTTTTGAACTTAATACCAATAATATCAAGTTATTTCGTTATTCTACTTGTGTTGGTACTGGTACATTGTCTAATGGTCTTTTCCGTCTTAAATTAAAGAATGATTCAGTTTACAATTCTTTACATGTTCAAAACGACACCAAACGGTGTAGTATTAACGACAATTCCTCAATGTTGTGGCATCGGAGATTAGGTCATATCTCCCTTGAGCGTATTAAAAGGTTGGTAAATGATGGAGTACTTTCTACTCTAGACTATACTGACTTTGAGACTTGCGTTGACTGCATTAAGGGTAAGCAGACAAACAAGTCAAAGGAAAGGTGCCAATGGAGTTCAACGTTGTTGGAAATTATTCATACTGACATATGTTGTCCTGATATGACAATACCTGGTCAGAAATATTTCATCACCTTTATTGATGACTTCTCAAGATTTTCCTATGTGTATTTACTTCATCATAAACATGAAGCATTGGATGCCTTTAAATCATTTAAAGCTGAAGTTGAAAACCAATGTAACATGAAAATACACATAGTTAGGTCTGATAGGGGTGGTGAATACTATGGTAGATACAATGAGAATGGGCAAGCATCTGGTCTAGTTGCTAAGTTTCTTCAAGAGCATGGGATTGTTGCCCAATACACCATGTCTGGTTCTCCGGACCAAAATGGTGTAGCTGAAAGAAGAAATCGGACCCTTCTGGATATGGTGCGGAGTATGCTTAGCAACTCTAAGCTTCCTAAGTCGTTGTGGGATGAAGCGCTTAAGACGGCAACGTATATATTAAACCGTGTTCTAACCAAGGTTGTCCCTAAGACACCGTTTGAGTTATTCAAAGATTGGAAACCGAGTTTGCAACATATGCGTGTTTAGGGATGTCCGTCTGAGGTGAGGATATATAACCCACACGAGAAGAAACTTGACCCAAGGACGATTTGTGCTTTCTTTATTGGATATGCACAATCTTCTAAGGGTTATAGGTTCTATTGTCCATCTCATACTACTAGGATAGTGGAATCAAGGAATGCTGAATTTCTTGAAGGTGACTTGATTAGTGGGAGTGATCGGTTTAAGGACTTAGTTCCTTCCTTTGATCATATTGACTCTCACCCTTCTACGTCATCTGGTGGTACTTATCCGTAGTGCTCCTTTAGTTCTGCCTGTAGATATAGCGCCTACCGTTGAGGTTCCACAAACTGTTGAGGATCAACCTTTGGAAGAACCAGTTCAGGACTTACAGCAACCGTCTGAACTAGATTTCGAACCAATGGTTGAACCAACTCAGGATATACAGCAAGATTCTGAGCCGATGCAGACTGAACCGATTCAAGAACTGCCACCAGTTCCTGAAGAGGTAGTTGCCCCGCAACCTGTACAAGGTGATGAGGGTCCAACCTTAAGACGGTCTACTCGGATAAGGCGATCAACAGTTCCTAGTTATTATGTTTCGTATCTACAAGAATCTGACATAGGGGCAGAAAATGATCCTGAAACATTCTCTCGAGCCACAAATTGTGCACAGTCTGACTTATGGTTAGAAGCCATGAAGGATGAAATAAATTCCATGAAGGACAATGGAGTTTGGGATCTTGTTGAGTTGCCTAATGGGGCCAAGGCCGTTGGTTGTAAATGGGTCTTTAAGGCTAAAAGAAACTCATTAGGCAACATTGAGAGATACAAGGCCCAGCTTGTTGCCAAGGGATTTACTCAAAAAGAAGGAATCGATTACAAGGAGACCTTTTCTCCTATATCAAAGAAAGATTCACTTCGGATCATTCTGGCATTAGTTGCACATTTTAATCTTGAGTTGCAACAAATGGATGTGAAAACCGCTTTCCTAAATGGTGATCTAGAAGAGGAGGTTTTTATGAAACAACCTGAAGGTTTCTCTTCTAGGGGTGGTGAGCATTTAGTATGTAAGCTTAAGAAATCCATATGCGGTTTAAAACAAGCCTCCCGTCAATGGTACATCAAGTTCGATGGGGTAATTTCTTCATTTGGTTTTGTTGAAAATCCCTCAGATAACTGTATATACCAGAAGGTGAGTGGGAGTGAAATTTGCTTCCTTGTTTTATATGTGGATGACATCTTACTTGCCACCAATGATAAGGGGATGCTTCGTGATGTGAAACAATTTCTTTCTATGAACTTTGATATGAAGGATATGGGTGATGCCTCTTATGTTATTGGCATTAAAATTCAGAGAGATAGGTCCCGGGGTATACTGAGCTTATCTCAAGAAACCTATATGAACAAAGTTTTAGAGAGATTTCATGTGCAAAATTGTTCATCTAATGTTGCTCCCATAGCTAAGGGTTAGACTTTTGGAGAACTGTAAAGAGGGTTCTAAGGTATCTAAGATGAACCAAAGGTTACAAGCTTGGGTTTAGGCAGACGGACAATTTAGATGTTGTCGGTCATTCAGACGTGGACTTTGCTGGCTGTGTTGATTCTCGGAAATCAACATCAGGGTGCGTCTTTATTATGGCCAGTGGGGCTATCTCATGGAGAAGTGTGAAACAGTCCTTAATAGCTACTTCTACCATGGAAGCCGAGTTCGTTTCCAGTTTCGAGGCAACTTCATAGGGTGTTTGGCTAAAGAATTTTATCTCTGGGCTTAGAATTATGGATTCTATATCTAAGCCATTGAAAGTCTACTGTGACAACTCAGCTGCAGTCTTCCTAGCTAATACCACAAAAGTGGGAGTCGAATTAAGTACATCGACATCAAGTTCTTAGCAATTAGGAATCGTGTCAAAAATAAAGTTGTATTCTTTGAACACATTCATACTGAGTTGGTGTCAGCAGATCCCTTGACTAAATGCATGCCTTCAGTTAAATTCAAGGATCTGGTTCAGAAAATGGGACTTTTTCCCACTATGGAATTTGTATATACATTCAGTTTAAAATTCTTTGGCATTCAGACATTTTCTCAATTAAGTGTGTACACCTTCATTTGCTTCATATTGATGAGAAAATGTACTTCAGGGACTTGGAATAAACATAAGGTTTATTTCGTTGGGTTTTGTTTCCTAATTAAGTGCTCAATGGCAGTTTGCATTTGATCATAATGGATACTACTCGTGCTAATGAGAACATATCATTATGGTTGGTGTTTTTCTGTTATTGAGTGGTAGTGCTTGCACCAAGTGGGAGAATGTAACGTTTATCCGTTACTATTATTATAACATTAGGATAAGTTATGATAATATTAAGTATTTGATATGTGGTGCAACACTAATAACCTAATAGCTAGACTACCATTATGATTAGGAGTCTAGTTAGGGTTTAGGAGACCTAAAGACAATCAACCACAATGATGGCCAGTGGTTATATAAGGTCACTAGTCCTCTGCTCACATTACATACCTCATACACCATCTAGAGAGAGCTGAGTAAAGTGAGAGACAAAATACTCGTTATCTCTGCAGCAGTCCGGATCGCTCAATCGTAACAGAAACTATGGCTGGAGGTTAGTCGATCCTATGATCACATATTCTATGATGCATGTGATATTTTAGTCTAACATTGCGTATATTCTGTATTTCCAGTTAACAATTTATTTTATTTACAAACACATTTTTTGGATCAAAATTCATCAAACTATAAACACATACTTTTTGTAGGCTGCCTTTGAGCTCTTTTTTGGCCGACACTTGAAGCAAGACCACATACTCTAAACGATAGCTAAATTCCTACCTTTTAAAAAGAGTTAGCTTTGCTTACCAGTATACAGTTGAGTGTTATCTGGCGATTTACTTACTTGTATGTGGCTGGAATACGTAAGTTATGACGCGTATTTCAATTTTGGGAATCCAAACTCAATTTATGCAGTATGAAACTTAGTTGAAATTAGAGTTTCAAATTGGAATTGTCAATTGTGTTACACACAAAGTGGCAATACGAAAGCATTCACATAAACACAGGTGGAATTGGTAAGTAGAGACTTTAAACATGTTTAATTCCAAATAAACAGCTTTACAAGAAGGTAAATGAACCCTAAGTCAGCCCAAGTTTGATGAACCAGTCATGATCATGTTCATGTTCATGTTGTTGGCAAATGAAATCACCTTAGCTTGGAGGGGACAGATCCTGGCTTGTGGATGTAATAGGGCAAGCCTTTAGCCTTGTTCATCATCGGACTCCCCCTTTTACCCATTTTCCTTATCCGCTGCTGCCTTCCAAGCTTATCGCTCACCCATCTGGGAACCAATTCATCGTCCAAATCGTACCCGTCTTCGTCTTCATCTTCGTCTTCATCTTCATCTTCATCTTCATCATCATTGTTGGCATAATCATGTTCGTAGTCATAGTTGTATCGGTAATCATGATTAAGCCCAACTGAGGGGACATCAAGCGGGCTCGAGATCTGGGGAGGCGAGACCGATTCCATGGAGACATCGGAAGATGGAGAGCCAAGAAGAAATGGATCTTCACGTTTCATCGAAATTTCATCATGGCCGTCGTCGTTATCTAGATCGTCCTCGTTGAAGGAGTACCGGTCGTCGTCCTCGTCATCGGATTGGTTCACGAATTCCCAGGAAGACAGGTCCTCCACGACGTCGTACTCCTCCATGTCTGACCCAGATCCGGCCTCAATAGGCTGCACCTTTCCGGATTTCCCCAAGATTCTCAACATTTTCTATTTTCAGATTTATGAGGTTCCTTCCTTGCTGGGTTTTTTTTGCTTGTGAGTAAACAGAGGAGGAGAGTTTTGCTTTTGAAAGGCTGTGGTTATCTTGCCCGAAACGAAACCAGTTCAGGTGACGTGTCGTCCTCTGGGTGCTTCCGGACCCACCAGTCGAATGATAAATATCTATTGGTCCTTTGCATGTGGCACTTGCCTATGTGGATTTATACTCTCTTTATTATGCTCATTGAAGAATGAAGATGGCTTTTAGGACTTCCAACTCTGCTCTGCATTATTAACGAATTGGACCAGCAACTCAATCATATGAATGTTGCGTCTTTGCAAGTTCGCAATCTAGTATTAGACTATTAGTATATTAAAAATAAAAGAAAATATTATACTTTTTTACTCAATCATGTAAAAGTCATTTGCCACAAAGTTTGATGGGAGAAAAGCAACAAGTGTTGTGTGAATGACTAAATTACGTTTCCTCAAGGATGTTGAAAATGTTCATATTGTGGACAACCAAACAGGGAACAAAATTACCAAGGCAAACGTATAGAAATATTGGATTTTACTGTAAGAGAAGAAATCAGCATTCGCAGAAACTTGCATTGCTCTTGTTTACAAAGAGTTGAGATCACAAATGCCACAATTTAGACGGCAAACATGCTCTCTGAGAACAAGATCTACTTAAACTCTCTGTCCTCTTCAGTTCCACCTTTACATGACCCCTCTTAATTTCTTATTTTACAATTGCCAGGGTGGAGAAATCCAGAAAGAAAAATAGAAACTGGTATACACCTTGAAGTTACATACTATTTCTGCTGTTCAACTAATCAAAGAATTGCACACTATACCGCACAAATTTAATGAAGAATCCCTGAAACAACATAAACAGAAGCGCAACCATTAGTTCCATGTAAACAAAAACATAGTACTACAATGCATATAGGTCAGGACCCATGAACAGCGATAGAGAAATTTGCATAACCACCTTTCTGTTTTTTGAATGATGGCTTGTAACTTTTAAGTAAAAGCAAATATCCTATCGGCAATCTTTGTCCGGCAAAGTGGACACTCGGCACAGGCAAGGGAACAGGATTTGCACACTGCAAATATTATTACATGAATCAAAATGGCTTAACTATGAACACCACAAGAAAGAAAAGAAAAAAAAAAAAAAGAAATTAAAATCTAGAGACAACTTACAGCAAAAATGACGGCAAGGAAGAAGCATTGCTGCTGTAGGAGATTCAAAACACACTTTGCACACATGTGAATTTGCATCCCCATTACCCAAATACCTGTGTTCCTTTTCCTTCATCTCTTGCATTCTGGCCTAAAGGGATTAACATAAATAAAAGAAGAGCATCATGATATATTATTATCCTTTTGTATGTCAGAAACAAATGAACAAACAAGCAGAGAGAACACACTTTACCTTCAAGCGGGCAACAAGGGGCTCTTCCTTGGAAATCTCAGGAGGTGGGGTTGGATAATCAATGGGTTGGCTATTATTTAAGATAGGATCTTTGCACTCGACCTCATTAACATTTGGATCATTTATACTGTCCACTCCAGTCTGTACATCATTGGTCTTTGCCTCTTGTCCAGCACAATTTTCTTTCTTAAGCCGAGCAACTAGCACCCACATATTTGCTAAATCATTTTCCAAGGCAGCCTCTCTTTTTTTTGCCTCATCAAACTTCTTCCGGTACTCATCTTCGATAATCTCCTTCTCAGCCAAGAAGGCCTCTAAAGCAGCTTCTCGCTGTTTCCTTGCCTGCAATTCCCTCTTTAAATCTTCAGGATCCAGATCCCATTTGTCAAAGTCATCATGATTACCATCATTTGCTCGGCTAGAGACCCGACCTCTACGACTTTGCCTTACACTGTCTCCATACTTACGGTTTCCCGCATTACCAGACTGCATATTAAAACTCCTAGAATTCAACATCTCTCGAGAAGCAGATAATTCTTTTTCAAGTTTCACATTCTGCAGGGAGAGCTTGGTGACTTCTTCAGCTAAGTTCTTCAGCTCAACTGCAGCAGCAGATGCTAATTCCTTAGCATAAGATGCTTCCTCAGACAATTTCTGGTTCTGTACACGCAACCCACTGTTCTCCTCTACAATCTGAACATGTTCTAGCTTTAATCTCTCGTTCTCAATCTCCTGCTTAGAGTAGAAAGAAATTTATTAGTCACTGCATATTGCACTTTAATATTTAACTTTGAAGAGGGAATTTTTCAATCACCAATTACCTGGCTTTGAATTTTCTTTTTCAGTTCACCAGTATACTTATCAGACAAGCATCTTTCAGAAGGGGATGACTTGTCAGTATTGACTGCAGCCAACTGCTGCTCCAGTTGACTAATTTTTGCCATCAGTTCCTTGTTCTCTAAGCACTGCAAATAAAAGAATAATCATGAACAATATAGGAAAAAAGTAAACCCAGTAAAAGGATTCAGTAAAGAATATAAAAGTTCAAAAAGGATAGTATTTTTTAAATGACAAATTAAGAACATTTTATGGACCTTGCTCTCCAACTGTTCCTGAAGGACACGATTGTCTGCAGATTTAATCTGCATCATAAGATTAAAATGCCAAAAGGCATGATATAATAAGATATACTGAAGTTGCTGGGAAATGCTTGTTACAAGAAAATACTATTCGCAATTGATTTATTGAAGGATAAGGGAGAAATCCCTTTATTCAAGTACTGACCTCAAGCTCAAAACCCTTTTCACTACACTGGGCCATCAATTTCATCACTGTCTGTAATGAAAAACAAAAAGACCAAATATTAATTTAAATTGTACGGAGTATATACTTATTAGAAACTAGCTCTGTGGCAATGGAGAAGGAAAACAAATTGCAGATGGATGAATTGGGATCACCTTTTGCATTTCAACCACAGATGCATTACCAATAGATGCTTCACCACTTTCCACAATGCGTTGTTCTAAAATCCCCATTTGCCTTTTCTTCTCTTGAATTTCACGCTCAAGAGTTTCAATCTACAGAAAAACCATTTAGGCAATTCATGAGATTTCACGATTTCAGACCCCAAGTAAAGACAGAAGGACAATGGCAATAGAATTTAAGCAACTTATGGTTGCAACAAAAAGTTCTGCAAAACTTCAATATATAGAATATCACTTATACTACAATATTAAATTCTTTAAAAGCATGTTTAGAAATGATAAACTCATGGCAGATTAAAAACTGCAGGAATTCTTGTACCTAACCCCATTCCATGTAGAATAATAGGTTAAAGTGGATTTGTGTGTATACAAGTTGCTTTTCAGTTCCAGACATAAGAAGAAAGGCTTACTTGACTTTTTGAGCTTTCAGGATCATTTACAGACTGCTCCATTAAGCGCTTCAACGTGCTAGTGCTGAATGCAATCTCTCCAGCTAGCATCTTGACTTGCTCAACAAAGAGATCCATCTGATCTGACATGCTGATCCCTTCCTAAATAGCCACAAAGCAAAAACAACATAACAGTAGACTCATTAATCTAATCTAAAAACATAATAAGTGTGAATGAAAGTTATACCCCTAATTTATGCCCCTTTTTTCCGTTAAGTTTTTTTGTACATTATGCTATAAAGGTTGTACATTAAAATATTTTGGACAAACATACCCCTACCGTTATAACTTCCGTTATCTTTTCCACTATTGTTACCATGCACATGCATCCACCATATATTTTCTTATCTTCTTCATTAATAATAATATATACACATTAAATATTTGAGTTATATGTTAATTATTACATAAATATAAATATCAAATTTATAAAAATGATTTACATTATTATTATTATTATTTAGAATAATTTAAATATCTAAAATCTAAATAAATTTAAAATTTTAATATAATGTATTAATATTGGGCACCTATTTTTTGCACATCGCGCATAAAAAATACTAGTATCCACATAATAATCATAAAGAATTATGGAGACCATCAAGCTAAAGCCTAAAAAGGAGTTCGGACATGATGAATCTTAAGTTTATTCCATTTCTAAGTACTCAGAACATAAAAGAGAGACAGAGAGGCATACAACAGCCAGTTTCGGACCACAGGAAGAAACACTGATAAGTTCACCAGCTTGGGTTGATTCTGTAATTGTACTGCCAGCCTGTGAGATGTCATCATTCCACTTGCTGGAAGATCGTCTATGTTTAAAACCAGAAGTATCTGATGAGGGGTCTTTCGGAATCTCACTGTCTATGAGCAAAGGACCCTCACGCAGAATATCCAACTTCTGAGGAAAGGGAAATAAAGGTCATTCAGAATTTGACTTGTTAAACATCATAAAGTAGAGGACACAGAAAACCCAAAAGGAAACTTTGATTTGAAAAGAAATAGGGTCACTGATTGGTTCACTAAATCATTAGTCATGACACAGAATAAAGGACAAAAACAAAGGAACATTTAACATGTGCAGTAAATATGTATTCTGCAGTTCAGTGTGAACTAAGGTAAAGTTAGAAATCATAGCCAACTAAATTAACCAGAAGCAAAGACAACAAAAAAATTGACACAACAAGCCATTATCAATCAAACTAGGCAGAAAAACCTACATCATCTTCGGAAGCAGAATGACTCCGTTGATGAGTAGTGGACACATCACCCAAATAGCCAGGAATTGAATTCTTTGAAGAAACAAGTATCAGCTTCGTAAGCCTCTGGATTCTGCTCAGTAGAGCAGCCTTGGCTTCCTCCTCTTCCTCCAGTCTGGATTGCATTTTCACTTGTCCTTCTTCCAACTATGAAAAAAACACACCACACAAGTTGAGAAGCATAGTCAGACCCCAATTGCTACACACCAAGTATAACTGAAAGATATAATAGTAAGACCTCTGAAAAACCAAATGCTGAGACTTCACAATATACCTGCTGCCTTAGGCTCAAGATTTCTTCTTGACTCACACCCACAAGCATTCCCCTTCTGAGCTGATCAAGTTCATGTTTGAGACAAGATATTTCTCTTTG